GATATTGAAAAAGCCTTCCGAGAGTAGCTTTTTCTGCCCAGCTCATCATTTCTGCCCCTTCTACACACATTCCAACCATCGGAATCACTCCAGGACACCCCCTTTTCCTAACCCTAACCCTACCCTGGTGCACTCCCTAACCCTAATATAGGGGTAAAGTTCCACTGAAAAGAGGGCCATTTTGAAAAAGCCTTCCTGGAGTAGGTTTTTCTGTGCAGCTCATCATTTCTGCCCATGCTAAACACATTCCAACCATCGGAATCACTCCAGGACACCTCGTTTTCCTAACCCTAACCCTACCCTGGTGCACACCCTAACCCTAACATAGGGGTATAGTTCCACTGAAAAGAGGTTGATGTTGAAAAAGCCTTCCTAGAGTAGCTTTTTCGGCCCAGCTCATCATTTCTGCCCATTCTAAACACATTCCAAGCATCAGAATGTTATGGCAGGGAAAATAAGTCCACCTCCTCCCTCTCAGCTCAGCTCAGGAATGAGGAACTCTGATCTCAGTGCCCGAAAATAACCTCAGCATGTATCTCGACAAGCCCTGATGCTGCCGCACGGCAGGCAAGTCAGGTCGGCGTACGGTGCTGCAACGGACGCATTTTGGGCCATGCATTCAGCTTCCCCCGACGGGAGGCCCCTCTTGGTACTCTGGACTTCAGTTCCCATCAGTCCCAGGTGCTACAGCCCAATGCTCAGGAATGCTGGAATGCAAAGTCCAAAACACTGGACGAGAAAAATGCCTTGATCATTTCAGGATGATAGAACTGATACTGGATTGGAAGCTGGTTGTGTATTCGAAGGGCAGGGCAGAAAGCTGAATCTCAAAACTAGAAATCAGTGCTAAAAATCCACATTCTGTCTTGGAAATTCGGGGGCCCACCCCTTCGGCGCCCGTGGAGGGTGGCTCTTTTGCGACACAGTGAGCTGTTTTCTTAAAAGCGTCAGACTGACTATTTTCTCAGAAATTTTGTGGCCTCCCTGGCATCCAGAGCCTGTGTAGAGATATTTTTAGACATTTTAAAAGTCTATTATCTGGTTTCCTTTGAGTGACTCAAAAGCCTAACTCGGTGGAATAATAAAACAATAATAAAACAATCCCGCAAGATTGTGATCGTGTTAAAAAAAATAACCCGAAATCTATTCTGGGAAATGTACAGTTTAAGAACGGCTTGTCTTCTGTTGCTGATCTAATGTGTGTTTGAATATCCATTTATAGTTTTAATTAAAGATCCCGGCGCACCTCCAAGGAAGCCTTTCTCTCGGTCTCTGGCTGCCTCGTTCTATAAAACAAAGTGAATAATACATCTGCCCTTGAGATCAACTGCTCCTTCTTCCACAGATAAAGGGGTGATGAATAGGAAATTTGTTCTCGCTGGAGGAGGCTCTTTTTGTGCATAAATAAAGAAATGGCTTGCCAGCTCCCGTCTCCCGAAGAAAGGGCATCATGGTGGGGAAGAGCCGGGGAGCGCTGGCGTCCCTTGGGGGGCTTGAGGGCTCTCTCCAAGATGGGGCATCCAAAGGGCAAGTGCACTTCCGTATAAGCAATGCAGAGAGATGCAAATCGGGGCAAGAGATCCCAGACTCAGGAATGCCCTGAGCCGGCCAGGAATACACAAGAAAGGGATCTTGGGGTGGTGCGGGTCATCCCATGAGGCGGATGGGTGGGAGGTTTAGGACGGATCTGAGGATGGACTTCCTCACACGGGGCTGCAGTTCCACTGTGGAATTTGCTGCCATGGGAGGAGGCGATGGGCGCCGGTGCGGATGGCTTGAAAGGCGGATTGGGCGGATTCATGGAGGAGGCGGCTATCAGTGGCGATAGCCTTGCTGGCCACCTCCTTTCCCAGAGCTGGCACGCCCTGGCTGGGCAGTTGGACTCTGAGGACTTTAATTAACTTAATTAAGTAGGCTGCCGATGGGAGGCGTCGAGTCATGCCGGCTCTTCCCTGAGGCCCACAAAGAGCGGCTGGTCGGGCAGCTATGAAGTACTGTCCTTTCCCTATTTGTGGAATGAGCTTCCCGGAGGGGCATACCTGCCCCATTCTACGTCTTTCAGCACCATGTAAAAAAAAAAAAAAAAAAGCCTTTTCTATTTCCCCAGCATTTTTAACTTGCATTTTAATATTGCATTTTTCCCCGCACCGCTGTTTTGCCTCTGTGCTGATTCCACTGCCATCGCGGCAGTTTTATGACGTTATTTTTTCTCTTGCTTGCGCGTTTTTAAATTTGCTAACCACCTAGAGACCCATGGCTACCGGGGAGTCTAAAAATTGAGTAAGTAAATAAATAAATCCGCGATTTTGAGTACCACTTCCTCACATTTCTGCACGGGGGCAATGCAGCCGAAGACACTCCATGCCACAACGAAATGTTCTCTGCCAGTTCGCAGAATTTTACTGTTACTCCCTACGTCGTTTGGTGGTTGCTATGGTACTGTGGCACGATTTTTCTCAGGACGGAGGACGCCCTGCAGAGAATGAAGAATAGCTGCTCGGATCGGGGGACGTGGTGTCCATCTCGCCTCTTGACCCGGTTGACAGTCACATTCAGGGGCCTCTCAGACGCCCGTCGCATCCCAAAACAGCCGGCGAGAGAGAGCAGGGGGAGCGCCAGCCGTCCGGCCTTGACGCACTGTGGAGCATGAATCCTAATTGCGCGGGGAGAGGCGGAAGTGGGCGGAGCCGGCGGGGTTAATTTAGGGCCCCGGAGCTGCCGCGAAATGAAGTTGCTTTCTTTTCGGAGACTGGCCTTGCCGCGAGGGAGGGAGGGAATAGGGCTGTATTGGGAGAGGGGATACAGGAGGCACAAGGCTTGGGTGCCCCCCACACGGTGTGCCGGCTGCTGTGGCCCAGGAGTGGCCTGCGAGACCCATCTGCTGTTCCCAGAACAGCGGGCCACTGGGGATGATGGGAGTGATCAGCTGGAACCTGTTTCAACAGACTTCATGCCCATGGATGGGGTGCTGTGTCCATGGCCCTGCCGAGCATAACGCCAGGAAATGCGCCTGCAGGCAGGTGCCCGAGGCTTGGGTGCCCGGGGCCCGGAGAAGGGCAGTGCCTCCGATCCAAGGAGAGGGGGCCGCGGCCGATCGCTGGGCGGTGATGACATCACCAATGCATGACATCACCCGGCGGGTTGCTTAGAGACGGGAGTGCCAGGGATCGGAGTGTGTCTGTGGTTGCCCAGCGGCCAGGAGACGGAAGCGTGCCGGGTTGCCTGGCGTGCGTCTGGGCATCGTTTGGCCCATCTCTGGCTCCCCGCGGACATCACTCTCCTTGAGGGTGCTGCAGGGGGGTGGCTTGCGTCCGGCTCCCGTCCTTCTTGCTTCGGGCCTGCCTCTTCCCGCACTCCACCACGCAGGCACATCCCGTCCCCCGGGAACCCTGACCGGGTGGGGGTAAACCTAGGAGCACGCCATGGGAGGCAAGTGGTGCGGCCAGGGAGGCCAGAGGAGGCTCGGGAAAGACCTCGAGGAGCTGAAGCGGGAAGTGGACCTCAACGACCACAAGTTATCCTTGGATGAAATTGGGCGCAAATACCAGGTGGATTTAGCCAGGGGTCTCACCAGAGGACAGGCAGTGGAGACCCTCGCTCGGGACGGCCCCAATGCCCTGACCCCTCCTCCGACCACGCCGGAGTGGGTGAAGTTCTGCCGGCAGCTCTTTGGGGGTTTCTCCATCCTGCTGTGGATCGGGGCCATCCTGTGCTTCCTGGCCTTCGGCATCCAGGTGGTGATGGAGGATCAACCCATGAAAGACAACCTTTACCTGGGCATCGTGCTGGCCGCCGTTGTCGTCGTGACGGGCTGCTTCTCCTACTACCAGGAGGCCAAGAGTTCCCGCATCATGGATTCCTTCAAGCACATGGTCCCTCAGCAAGCCCTGGTGATCCGGGACGGCCAGAAGATGCATATCGCCGCAGAGCTCGTGGTCGTGGGGGACCTGGTGGAGCTGAAGGGAGGCGACCGGATCCCTGCCGACCTGCGGATCATCTCCGCCAGCGGCTGCAAGGTGGACAACTCCTCCCTGACAGGGGAGTCGGAGCCGCAGAGCCGCTCCTCGGAGTTCTCCCATGAGAATCCACTGGAGACCCGCAACCTCTGCTTCTTCTCCACGAACTGTGTGGAAGGCGCGGCCCGGGGCATCGTCATCCTGACGGGCGACCACACGGTGATGGGCCGCATCGCCTCGCTGGCCTCCGGCCTGGAAGAGGGCCCCACCCCGATCGCCCTGGAGATCGAGCACTTCATCCGCATCATCACGGCGGTGGCCGTCTTCCTGGGAGTGACGTTCTTCGCTCTGTCGCTCTTCCTCGGCTACACCTGGCTCGAAGCCGTGGTGTTCCTGATCGGCATCATCGTGGCCAACGTCCCAGAGGGGCTCCTGGCCACCGTCACGGTGTGCCTGACGCTCACGGCCAAGCGCATGGCTCGCAAGAACTGCCTGGTGAAGAACCTGGAGGCCGTGGAGACGCTGGGCTCCACCTCCACCATCTGCTCCGACAAGACGGGCACCCTCACCCAGAACCGCATGACGGTCGCCCACATGTGGTTCGACAACCAGATCCACAACGCCGACACCACCGAGGACCAGGCCGGGGCGATGTTCGGCAAGCGGTCGCCCACGTGGGTGGCCCTGGCCCGCGTGGCTGGCCTCTGCAACCGGGCAGACTTCAAGGCGGGCCAGGAGGGCGTCCCCGTGGTGAAGAGAGAGACGACTGGGGACGCCTCCGAGTCCGCACTGCTGAAGTGCGTCGAGCTCTCCTGCGGGCCGGTGGCGGCGATGCGAGCGAAGAACGCCAAGGTGGCCGAGATCCCCTTCAACTCCACCAACAAGTACCAGCTGTCGGTCCACGAAGCCGAGGACAAGCCCAAAGGCCACCTCCTGGTGATGAAAGGGGCCCCCGAGAGAGTGCTGGACTTCTGTGCCACCATCCTGCTGCAAGGGAAGGAGGTGAGCCTGGACAAGAAGATGAGGGAGGCCTTCCAGAGCGCCTACGATGAGCTGGGCGGGCTGGGAGAGCGGGTGCTGGGCTTCTGCCACTGCTACCTCCCCGAGCGCCCCTTCCCACGGGGCTTCAAGTTCGACGTGGAGAAGGTCAACTTCCCGCTCAACAAGCTGTGCTTCGTTGGGCTCATCTCCATGATCGACCCGCCACGGGCCGCTGTGCCAGACGCGGTCAGCAAGTGCCGGAGTGCCGGGATCAAAGTGATCATGGTGACCGGGGACCACCCCATCACGGCCAAGGCCATCGCCAAGGGGGTGGGCATCATCTCCGAGGGAAACGAGACCGTGGAGGACATCGCCGCCCGTCTCCACGTCCCCGTCGGCGAGGTCAACCCCCGGGAAGCCCAGGCGTGCGTGATCCACGGCTCCGAGCTCAAGGACCTGTCTGCGGAGGAGCTGGACGAGATCCTGCGCAACCACTCGGAGATCGTCTTCGCCCGGACGTCCCCCCAGCAGAAGCTGATCATCGTGGAGGGGTGCCAGCGGCAGGGGGCCATCGTGGCGGTGACCGGTGACGGGGTGAACGACTCCCCGGCCCTGAAGAAGGCCGACATCGGCATCGCGATGGGCATCGCCGGCTCCGACGTCTCCAAGCAGGCCGCGGACATGATTCTGCTCGACGACAACTTCGCCTCCATCGTGACGGGCGTGGAAGAAGGCCGGCTGATCTTCGACAACCTCAAGAAGTCCATCGCCTACACGCTGACCAGCAACATCCCGGAAATCTCCCCGTTTCTGCTCTTCATCATCCTCAACATCCCGCTCCCGCTGGGCACCATCACCATCCTCTTCATCGACCTGGGCACGGACATGGTGCCGGCCATCTCCCTGGCCTACGAGACGGCCGAGAGCGACATCATGAAGCGCAAGCCGCGCGACGCCAAGGCGGACAAGCTGGTGAACGAGCGCCTCATCGGCATGGCCTACGGGCAGATCGGCATGATGCAGGCGCTGGCCGGCTTCTTCACCTACTTCGTGATCATGGCCGAGAACGGCTTCCTCCCGCACGCCTTGCTCGGGCTCCGCCTGGACTGGGACGACCGCTCCAACAACGACCTGGAGGACAGCTACGGGCAGCAGTGGACGTACAGCCAGCGCAAGCAGGTCGAGTTCACCTGCCACACGGCCTTCTTCGTCAGCATCGTGGTGGTGCAGTGGGCCGACCTGATCATCTGCAAGACGCGCAAGCTCTCGCTCTTCCACCAGGGGATGAGGAACAAGATCCTGATCTTCGGCCTGCTCGAGGAAACCGCCCTGGCGGCCTTCCTGTCGTACTGCCCGGGGATGGACGTGGCCTTGCGCATGTTCCCACTCCGGATCACGTGGTGGCTGTGCGCCCTGCCCTTCAGCCTGCTGATTTTCGTCTACGACGAGGTGCGGAAGCTCATAATCCGCCGACAGCCAGAAGGATGGGTAAAAAGGGAAACCTACTACTGATCGGGGCCCGCCGGTCGGGCACCCCTTTGTGGGAACTCCCTTCGGGTTGCATTATCCCCCCAAAGTTATTCCAAGTTGAAAGGGGACAGCCTCAGTCCTCCAAATAAAGAAACAGATTTTAAAAGGACAGTGCTTTCTTTTCCTGTTCTTCCCTCCCCACTACCCAGGTTGTCATTTCTTGAGTTTATCAACAGGATTGGAAGTATTGAATGCAAAAGAAAAGAGGACCGGTAGAGAAGATGTGGTAGGTGAACAAAAGCGAGGGTGAGCGATCGCGAGTCTGTAACAAAGCACCAACCACACGCTCGACGTGGGGCTGCCCTTGAAGACGGTCCGGATACTTCAGATGGTGCAAAACAGAGCGGCCAGGTTGCTGGCGGGGACGGGGCGTTGTTCTCATATAACCCCCGTCCTCTCTCAGCTTCACCGGCTCCCCATCAGGGCCAGGCTAAGACCTTTTTATTCAAGCAGTATTTTAACAACGTTTAATATTTATAAGTTTTAATTGTGCAGCCAGGGCGTTTCCGGGTTTCAATTGTATTGTATTATATTTATTTATTTCTGTGAGCCATCCCAAGGCTATATAGCGAGGGGATGGCATGCAAAAACTTTAAATAAATAAAAAATAAATAAATAAAACCAGGCTGCGTGGCCAGAGGAGGACACGGTACTTGGCCATGTGAAGAACCAAGGCCAGACGCAGAAGAAAATGCAGGACCTTGTTGCCCACGCGCTCAAGTCCTGCTGAAAGACGCTCGCCGTGGCGGGGCGACCACGTGCGACCAGAGCGGGTCCAGCACACCGAGAAGTCTCCGCTCGCTGGCAGCCCCCACATCTTCATCCCCAGCGCCCTCCCCCCTTTCGTGCACTTGGCTCTCCAATGCCAACCGCTGGCTGCATGTTCAAATTTAATTTAATTTGAATGATAATTTAAAGCCTGGCAGATGCAAACGCGGCCATCTGCAGAGGAACGGGAAAAGGGGGAGGGGGGCCTCGGGTGTGGGGAAGCGGCCATGAGCAACCGAACTCTCAAACGCACAGGCCTGGGGAGCGCCGACCAACTGGATCCAGCGACCAGCAAAAGCCATCGCGGAAAAAGATGCAAACTCGCACGCACAAAATCTGGGACCAAAGCAACTGGCCCTGTACAAGAGCCATGATACAGACGGGGGGTCGGACGGTACGATAAAGTGTGCTTTCCAAACACGTGACTGAATGAACCTGTGCCAAGTCCAAGGCGACACCCCATCCCCTCCCCAGCTGCGCTCCTCGGGCACAGGCTGGAAGCTCCCACTGTCCTTTCTGGCTAAGCACCATCCCTGGCATTGCCCAAATTTGGGGAGGCGTGGTTTCCTCTAAGTGGAATTCTTACAGCACAGAATTCCTGCACTTTCTAGGATCTTTGCACTTTCCAGGCAGGACGTGCTGCAACGGAGCAAAGCTCAGGGAGCCAAGGTTCAGTTTGGATGCCGGGAAGCACTTCCTGACAGTCGGGACCCCGAGGGTGTGGAATGGGCTTCCTCGGGAGGTGGTTGAGGCCCCACCGGTGAGGGTGTTCAAGGATAGGCTGGACATGCACATGGTGGGCATGTCGTGAGCGGAGCCGGCTGGAGCCGAAGGTCAGACTAGATGGCCCGGGAGGCCCCTTCTGACTCGCGCTGTTTCTATGTTTCCAAGGGTGCTCGGAACTGGGACACTCTGCAACGGCATGGGGGGGGGCAGGGATCTTCCGTGATGGGGGCCGTGTGTGCCCCATCCAAGCTCCTTTGCGCCTCGGCCCCCCCTTGCCCACCTCCGAAACACCGGCTCACGGAGCCGCAAAAGACCCGCTGTGCCTCGGGGGCTTTGCCAAAGGGCACCCGTGTGACGATCAAAACACCGCCCCGGAAGAATCCTGGGGCAATCGCCCGGGAACGATGGGGAATGTTTGGTGCGCTGCATTGCGCACAAAGGGTCGTGCGGGTGTCCTTTGAGCAGTTCTCGCCTTTGCTGGCCCTGTTTTGGAGTCCCGTGTTTGACTCCTTGATTAGGAGAGAGGAGGATCTGGACTCCCGTGCGCGCATCCTGTCAGGTTGCAGGGGCAGGTGGAATGCTTCCGGCCAGAAGCCCCCACTTCGCCTCTGCTTCCGGCCCCATAAGCAACTATTTCACCCTGGCTCTGGTCGGTGGATGATGGGATGCGGGTCTTTGGAAAGCAACCTGCCCCAGAATCATCGGGCGGATTTTGCTTTCACTGTCGGGGCGGAGGGGGCTCACAGGGCTCGGCGCGAGTCACGGAATCGCCAAGTTGTCTTAAAAAGAAATACGGCCGTGGGGCACAGAGCAGTTTTGAAAGGTGGCCAAGAAAGCCGTCTTGCCGGCAACGTGGCCTTGCTGAGTGATTGCCCGGCCTGCAGAGGCAGTGGGGGATGTGACGGGGACAGTCTTTGTCTGGGATTTATTATTGAGAGGGTGGGGCAGCTACCACAGGTGGCAAGATCTTGCCTTCACACATCCTTAGGAGCATTCCTGCCTGCGGTCGGATAGATTTTAGAATATTATTATTATTATTATTATTATTATTATTATTACATTTCTATGCCATAGTATTTCCATCCTGCTCCTCAATCCCAGTGTGATCCATAATCAGTCAGTGAAGCCAAGCAATCCCCACTCTGCAGGCGGGCAGTCTAAAGCACACAAGGAAAAGGAGATGAGGAGGGCAGAGGAAAAATTAAGCACTCCTCCAGCGGGGATGTTGGACCGGCTAAGGTTGCACTCAGTCCCTACCTGTAAGGATTCCCACCTTTAAAAGGCATGGATCTACCCTATAAGGTAAGTCAAACATGAGAGCTGTGAGCGACCCCAGCAGTGCTTTGCACTCGGAATGAGGATTTGTGCTAGAAGGTCGGGTCCAATCTGAGTTCTGCTGAGAGGACTCCCACTGGAATGCATGGGCGCCGCGACATGCTAACCACTGCACCGCACTGCCTGCTCCTCACCCACCTCTTTCAAGTCGGTTCTTTTTGTGAACCTCCATCACAGCCCTTCCCCAGCCCAAAATCCGCCCCCCCCCCCGCCCGGTGTTAGGGTCTGGTTAAAACCCAGCCACCAAAACTGGGGAATGAAACAGCAGGGCCCTGCTCTGGCCGAGTGCCACTGCCGGAGAGCGCATTTTACACTCATCGCTAATTATTTCCAGGCAGTGGCAGCACCTCTCGCCCATACTGTGCCGGAAGAAAAGGCACAGACGAGGTGCCCGACCGTGAGAACGTGACAAGCCACAACATGCCCTCGTTTCGTCACCTCTCCAGCCTCCGACAGTCCAGAGGAAGTCAGCTAATTGCAGTCACCGGGAATGCCGGACGTCTCGTGTGGTGCGAGGAGAGGCAGTGTTGCCTAGTGGTTAGAACACAGGAGATCCAAATTCATTCAGCTCATTGAAAGGTGAAGACCTTTTTATTTAAACGTCATTTTCATTGTTAACAATATTTGCTTATTTATCTGGCCAGGGCGACTTCTTTTATATTGTTATTTATTTTATATTGTTAATTTTATATTGTTATTTTTGTATTTTATTGTATTTTATTGTGCTGTAAGCCGCCCCGAGGCTTCGGCAAGGGGCGGCATAGAAACATTTTAATAAAATAAACTAATAAAATAAATTGGTGACTTCGGGCCAGTCCTTAACTCTCAGCCTGGCTAACCTTGCAGGGTTGTCGTCATGGGGACAAAACAGGAGGGGGGGATATTTATTTAAGTTACCTGAGGTGTCTTGCAAGAAAAAAACTGGCAAACAGACACGCTGGGGTAGCCGAGCAAGGCTGCTTTAGGCCAGGGCGAAGAAATCACAGAAAGTGAGGCGCCCAAGATGCGCCCACTACTCCTCGCTGCTCCCAGTCACGCCTACCTCACAGGGTGGTTGTGAGAACAGAACGGCACGGTGGCAAGGCTCCACCCCCTTTCCCATCCACCGGCGACTTGACATCGCCTCGGCTTTGGTCTTCCCCTCTTCCTTCCAAAGTCGGAAGCGGTTGTTCCTGGCAGGTTTTAAGCTACCGCATGCCGGGATTCCCTCCCTCGGACGCGGTGCCTGGCAGGTTCTCCGAAACGGAACCAGGCCGGAAGAGGGCCTTTGCCCCTGCCATCCGATGGGCCGGCCCTGATTCCCAATCCGCGAAGCCCTTGCGTGTGGACGGCAAGAGAGCGTCTGCCAGGCGCCCCGAGAGCTGCTCTGGTGCGTGGCGGTTGCTTCCTGTTCCCTGCCAAGCCCTTCTGAGCGGTAGCCACTTAACTGCGATTAACTGCAACCTGGCCGTTCGGCTTGCTCTCTCTTGGGGGAAAAATTATAAATCCGGCTAAGGATGCCTCCACGCAGCTCCCCCACCAACGAGCCCCAGAAACACCCCCTTTTACGGGAAACAAACGCATCTGTTTCACCGGTTGCTGCCCTGAAACTACAACCTTGTGAATTTTTCCCTACCCAAAAAAATTATCCAAAGTTGTTGATACATCAAAGGCTCCTCTTGACATGCAATTTGATAATTATTAAAAGAACAACGCACTGGGGGGATGAAGCAAGTTCCTTCAAGGCACCCTGTCGTGCCGATCGGGAGAAACACCCCAGTTTGATCTCCGGGGGCAATACTGCAAACAACAAGCTGCCATGATAAAGAGGGTGAGCACAGGGGGCAACCTATCAGGGATCCAAGCAGGCTGGGCTGGGCACTGGCAGACAGGTTGGGAGGTGGGGGGGTGAAGCTGGACAATCCTTTGTCCCCAAGAGCATAGCGTACACCACTCACATCAGCCCAGCGCGCGGCTCCGTCACCAGGTTCTCGGAGGGCTCGACTGGATCTAACAGGGTTAAATTACAAATGCATCCATCCCAGCCAAACATTAGAAGAAATGTTTTGACAATGAGAGCACTTTGGCAACAGAACCAACGACCAAGAAAGACAGTGAGCACTTTCGTGTCGGAGATCTTCAAGCACAATCGTTACCATCATATTGTGAGGATA